CAGATAGATATCATGTTTATTATTGAGAATGAAGTGAAAATGACTAGGTAGTAGATAGATAAGTACTTGAAAGTCAGATATAATCATATGGTGAAAGACATGCGAAAAAAATAAATACACTCATATAAAATAAAAGGAACAGATGGTGGGTTTCTATTTCGTAAATGCGTGGGCGAATTGATCACCAAATTTTCGTTGAATTTTAGCCTTCCTGGCAGCATCCAATGCAGCAGATACACGTTTGATAGTCTTTGGGTCCAATAGCTTCTTCTGGAAAGTAATTATCGCTATCAGGAGTAAATATAATTTCCTTACCATAAAAATCCCCCAAAGATAATTATCAATCAAAACTGATATCACCTCAAAAATGTGGGAACTACGCACCTCTAGCCTCTGTCGCACAGTTTCTGTGTTCTTTTTCTTCTGTTTCTTCGTCTTTTTCACAAAAGATTGACCAGTTCCAGCTTCGAGATCTCTGCAACATCAGTAGTACTATGATCATCTAATTTGCTTTGGCATCTCACCTCATGTAGGCTTCCTCATCTAGCCGTTCACGTTCCTTCTCAGCAGTCGACGGTTCAGGAGTGCTTACTTCTTCGATAGGGAAACCTTCGTCATCGCGGTCAATAATCACTCCGTGTATTGGACATCTAAATTACTGTGTTAGCTGAATATAACTAAATATCAGCAAATCAAGAACCGTCTAAAAAGGTTTAATCAGACCGTATGAAATTTTATGGGTAGAATTTTGATAGGAAAAGAAAATACTGAAAAGCGAATATCATTAGCATGAATGATTAATGAAAATAAAAAAGAATGTGATTAGGAAAAACGTACTCTTATCTAACGGAATTGATCTTCTTGTAACATAGCAAGATACCTGTGAAAATCCATTCGAGGACAAAGTTTTCCACTAGGAAGTCTAGCCTTGCAGCGTTTATCTGATCGACGTGGTTCGCCAACCCACGTTATAACTCTCATTTCCCCGCAAGCAGCTTCCTTCTCGCTTACAAGTGGCCTGAAATAATCCAGTGCAATAACAGAAGCTCCCTTAGTACAACGATTACCTATCATCGTCATCGGGAGGTCTCCAAAACCTATGGCAGTCTGCAGTGTTACGCATTACGATAGGTTCAGAGTGTTTCTCTCCCCAATACTTCAGATCCAGATCGAAAGAAACCACGGGAATCTTTGGCTTGGAATCGTCACTCTGGAATAACCATTGAATGAGATTGTTGCTGGCAAACGAGGGGCATGGGTACCATCTCC